TCTCTGCGATTCTTATCGTTGTTTGCAGCTATCCGGTTCTCTATCACGATCCGTCGCCGTCCTTCAATCTGTCATTCCGCCTGTGTGCCACACTCCTATCACCATCCCCATCTTATGCAGCCTCTTTTCTCAGCCTTCAATGTCTATGTTTACCCACTTTCGACTTGTCCGAGCTCTATCTATTTGCCCTCAGCGTCTGTCCTGGCCGCGCATCATACCTTTTGTGTCGCTTGACAGTAGCGAAGGATCCATTGTATGCACCGCTCGAATATGATATTATACTTCTGTTCTAGTATTTGGTTGCAGCGAACTTGCATCAGCATTTGGACTATTTCTAAGAGGCTCTTTGGAGGTATCAGACAACCATGTCGCTTTTCTGGGGTTCACTATGGACACTAGTCCTTTTATCAGACTGTCATACCCTATGCTACATCCAAGAATATTCTAGTAACCGAGAGATTAGTCTGATGCAGAGACAGTTCAGTCACTATCAGAAATATACTCCTTGCTCTTGTAGACCTTACGACGGCGGTCAACCTTCACCCGTTTCGCCTGTGAAGACTCCTGCTGAGCGTCCGCCCCTTCTCTTGCGGCTGCGCCCGACTGTCTCTTTCGTTTCTTCCCCCTTCCTGCCGATGCCTCATACTCAACCCCAGCTTCCATCTCTTCGTCTGCAGCGCCACCCTCGGCCTCAAGTGGTGGTCCCTGGCCCCCAGCCTGACTGGTAGCATCGTCCCCTCCATTATCGTCTTCAGCCCCCGCCTCAACCTCATCCGGTTCCGGATCCAATTCATCCTCTTCAACGTCCTCCGATTCCACGTCCATCTGAGCGCTCCTCTTGCTGATCCTTTCGAGACCCAACAAACGGCGAGACCGAGTCGTACCATGCCTCTTCTTCCCTCCCATCCACAACTCCTCCTCATATTCCTCCTGAGCTTCAACGTCCCACTCGTCCAACTCATCCTCACTCTCCATCTCTGCAGCAAACGCCTCCTCATCCGTCTCACTGTCAATGCACGCGTCGTCTCTGGCACGTTCCGGGGCACCCCATGGCGTTGAGCAGTGTAACTCGCGGCGGCTGTTGAGAGTAGCTTGACGAGGGAGGGGGACATCGGCCTCCCATTCGCAGGGTGGGTTTATATCGGGGGGACGAACGGTGCGTGCGGTGCTGAGGTGACGAATGGGAAGAAGCATGCGTTTCTTGGTGAAGTCGACCTTACGTTCGAATGTGAGAGAATTGTCCTGAGAGTTGCGAAAAGTGGGCCCGAGGCGTGCAACCTCGACCTCCTCTTCATGTTCCTCGTTTTCGTCGTCGGAGTTGCCTGCGTCAGAATTCGCGACGGGCTGAGTTACCTTCTCGAGCAGTACACTCTTGCGGAGTTGTCGGAAGTGTCTTTTCTTGCTTAAGAGTTTGCCGACGCACATACCGAGGGCATGCTTGACATTCCGTGTCCTGACGATCTATAGACAAGGACATCAGCCTATCGTTTCTCAAATGGGAAAGTCGGGTATCGTACTGGACGGGTCGAGATCCTCCACACTTTCGTGCGAGCTTTCGTTTGTCGCTCAAAGGAGCGGGACAGGAATGCTTTCTTTGCGATCGTCCTCACAAAGTGGATAACATGAGTTTGCAAGGTTGCGAGTACCTCACTGGATATAGAAGAGACAATCAAAGGGTCTACACCATGTAGCTCGTTATACGATCTGAGGATTTCCAATCAGTCACGTTCATTGTACACCCTACGAAGACTTACCGCATAAGCTTGTGAAAGTTCGCCAGCCGGAACAAGTCAAACCCTTCTCTTTGGATCCTTTCAGCGTCCAAGCCCAATACATCCACGTTGGCCCGCGTCTTGTAAGTCTGCGTAAGTCCGGACTTGTGGGGGTGCCGGCGAGCGGGCGCAGAACCAGCCGTGTCGCCCTGTAGCGCTGATTTTGCTTTCCTTCCGGGCTTTAATCGTGCTGAAGTCTGGTCCACCGTCAATCCCGCTTTCTCGGCGCGCTTTCGTCGCATGTACATCCTCTTATACAGACGTCGCCGAGACGTCGGACTAAGGTTCTCAGCGGATTCTGCAGCGGGGTCCTCACCGTCGTGGGGGTCAGGATTCGGCGGAGTCGACTGACGAGAAGGGCCAGGTTGACTTGTCGATTCGGATAGCAGAGAAAAAGCAACATCGTGGTTGTTGTCAGGGAGCGTAGCACCGGCAGACGAAGAGGCAGCGAGGGTATTGGTAGTAGACTCAGGAAGGGGTGTCGAGGATCGTCTAGAAGCCGTGCCCTTCGAAGCTTCATCTTGTAGTGAGCGAGCATGCCTCTCCTCTTCAGCCTCTCGCAGAACAGAATCTAGAGCAGCAAGGCGTTCGGCATCCAGACAACTCTTGAAGTCATCAACCTTCCATTCCTCTCGTCGTGCTTCGGCCCATGCCTCAAACTCTTTCCTCCTCTCCTTCTCCCCCTTCCTATCCCTGACACCCTCGTCCGACTTTGCGCTCCCCCTGGTCATGCGAATTTCCTGGCGACGGGTCTCTAAGATTGCATCATGGGATCGTTCCGTAGCACGCGCGAGGAGGGCCGGCTCATGGGAGGCCAATAAAGTAGATTGACTGTCCTCCATCTGGCACCACCGTTCAGACATCTCCATCGCAATTGGAAAAGAATCCCGAGATGTTGGCTGTATTTTTCGCCAGTCTCTGGAACCTCCATCAGTATAAGATACCGTGAAGTGGGGTCGAGAAACGGTCTCCGAAGTAATGGCGTCTTCTAAGGCGTCGATGTAAGCAGTGACCTCTGCGACATTCTTCGTCCCGATGTCGGCAGCTATGAGATCAGGACGAAGTCGAGAGTATACGGAAAGACCATGGAAAAGGATATTCTTCTCCTCAGCTGTCCAACAGGAAAGGCCGAACTCGCTGGGTTCAAGGGGTTTGGAATGATCACTTCCGGAGAAATGGTTTCGGGTGTCCTGTACATGCTGATAGAACGCAAAAAGATATTCAATGGGAGATGGGAATACATCTTCTGTCCGTGAATCCATGCCAAGATCTATCAATTCCATGAATATGAGCAAGTTAGGACAGACTCATAAGTTTGACACACAACTCTAGTTGGGAGACCCCGGGTCCCCTATCCTCCTTGCTCTAATCATCGAGCCCGAGGGTATTCCAATAACAAAGGCTGGAAACTCACTGCGACAATTAGTAGGAACACATGTAAAGGTAGTATATGGTGAATGGATGGACAGTGGATGAGCAAGTAGAAGCAGAAAGTTGCCGCGGCGAAGACGAAGTTTGAAACAATGGAGGAGAAACTTAAAGACGCCGCCAAAGAGTCACGTGGAGGACGCGTGAAGTAATTTACACGCGTGCGGCCCTTGGTTGGCGGCATCTCAACTTGCTTTTGTCCCTCGTGCCTTCGAGAGCTCTCCCACAAGTATAACGAACATACGCTTACTTTCACATATCTTCTGAAATGGCACGGGCTGCAACGCGTTCACAACGTCAACCTTCTCAGTCTCAACAACCTAGGGGTGCCCCTCGAGGAACTCAGAACGGAAGGACTCAACGAGCTCCAGTAGAGGAGGACGACGACGAAGAAGAAGCAGGGGAAGGGGACGATGACGACGCTATGCAAGAAGATGGAGAGGAAGGTGGTTCAGACGTATGTTGACGCGTGTTCCTTCGTTTAAAACACACTCATTCAATAGTAAACTATTCCAGGACACCAGCCGGAAGGCTCACGACCTTGTTCGACTAGCTCTATTCTCAGAGCAACGGCGCATTCCATTGAGGCGTGATGACATCTCGAAGAAAGGTAAGGGATGAAATATCTCCGCTGCAGCATAAATTGAATACTATCCATAGTGCTTGGTGCGAAGTCTCGTGCCTTCGGCGAGGTATTCTCTCGTGCGCAAGACATACTGCGGAAAACATTTGGAATGGAAATGGTGGAACTGCGCCCACGAGCGGAGGCGGAGGACAGTACGACGGCGAAGGAGAAGGAGGCTATGAATATCAAGAAGAAAGGTGAGTTCTTCGCTTCTATGACCGATAGTACTCTGAACAATCATCTGCCATTTCACAGCTGCAGTCGCGGGCACGAAGACATTCATTCTGCGCTCTGTTCTTGATCCGGGTCTTATTCAGGCAGCGGTCGCACGAGATGATGAATTGCTACAAGTTGAACAGGCGGAGAAACTAGTTGCAAGCGACGACGAGGTCGAGTATGATAACACTCTCGGCACATACAGCACTGGTTCCATCTTCGCATGGCATTCGAGTGACCAACTAGGCTCGATCGGCATTCTATACGTCATTCTTGCCTTGATCCTAGTCAATGGTCGGAGTCTCAGCGACAGTGCGTCTTTAAATTTACTCCCTAAGTTTATCTCGCGCCTCTGACTGTACCACACCACATAGATACGCTTCGGGCGAACTTGAAGACCCTTCGATTACTGCCCACTACGTATGTACCGGTCAGCAATCAGGCGACTCATCAGGACATGACCATGGACGCATATCTAAACCAACTTGTTCGTCAAAGCTTCATCGAACGCGTCCGAGTTGGCGAGGTGAAAGGCGCAAAGAAACGCGGGAGAGCTCCTGCTGCGACACAAGGAGAAGACAACGCGAATATGATCGAGTGGCGATGGGGTGCCAGAGCCATAAGCGAGGTTGGGGAGACCGGTATCGCAAAATTCGTGGCTGAGTTCATGGTGCATCGCGAGTACTACGGAGATGATGAGGGCGGCTCAAACGAGACTGAAAAGGTACAGAAGAATGTAGAGAAGATGCTGCAGGGAATTGAGAAAGCAGCAGGGTCGGGTAAATTGCTCGACATTACGGGCAAATGAGATTTGGCCTGTCGGTTGTATGGATGGTTTATGATACAGCTATTCTACACTGCATATTATTTGTTGTACGGCTACGATGCTGGAACTCAGTAACGCACATGCAAATGATGAGGGGACAAGATGTTGAGATGTTTATCTCCTTGTTTGTCATGGTGAGATGGCCGAGTGGTCTAAGGCGCCAGAATCAGGTGTTAAGTCACGTAAATCTGGTCCGAAAGGGCGCGGGTTCGAATCCCGTTCTCATCATTGATTTTTGTATGTTTTGACACTTTTTATGCAGAAGAGTGTGGTATAAGCTAGACAAGACAAGTTGGGTTCTAATCTGGTTTGACTTGATTGTCTCATCACTTCTGTAGAGAAACAGAATAGCAAGAAGATACATACAGTGACAAAAACAAGAACATAGTGTAGTAGAATATAAGAATGATATATAAATGGATTTCGTTGTATTTAAAAGCAATTCCTTGAGCTTGTTTGAGCATTATGCAATCAGCTTTTTGGTAACACAATCTGAGACACTGCTTATGATTTAGCAATTATTCTTATATGTAACCAACTTATCAGTGAAGGACAAATTGTTACGATAGGGTTATAATGAGTGAGAAGAAAAAGAGAGTCCTGGAGTCAAGATGTGTGAGATGAACCTCAAATGGAATAATAGGTTAAGCTAAGATTACAAGACAATGTAGCTAGGCTTTATATATACTAAGCAGTTCTACCACCATGAAGGGAGCAAAAGGCACTCAAAAGTGCGGCTGACGCGGCCTAGCCTTGCTCACGTTTTCAGTGAGTCGTGCTTGTGTGAGGAATGAAAGAATAAGATGATTATTTGGAGGATTGCCAAGAATTGTTTGGTCAGTCTCAGCACCTTTCTGTGACCTTCACCTCAAAGTTCTTTCCATAACTTCCACTTCAAGTTTAAAGCTCACATGTGCTCGGTGATCGAAGATAGGGTGACTGGCAAGAAAGGTAACATGGACAGGGGAGTCGTGGTGGTTAGAGTTTGTCGCTTTGCAGCATCTCCTTCAAGTTTGAGACACATCAACGCAAGGAATGGTTAAGTATGTTGCTCGTTCCCGCAGTCGAGGAAGAGAGGCGGCTCAACTCTGCGAGAATTTAATAAAAATATTGGCAACTGGTGGACGAGAAACTGAACGCAGAGGTGAAGTACAATCAAGGACGGCATCATTGTGATCAGAAGTACAATGTGAGTATGATCATTTGCAGAATTTCATCGTGCTAAAGAGATTGACAATATACACATGAATGAGGAATCCTGTCCTAAACACATCAATAGCATAAAATGTATTGAAAGCCCTGCCCTAAGCTGTCAAATCGAGAGGCTTCACAGTGCATCCCTGTGGCTGTAGTAGAGTGTCTAAGCTGAGTCAAAAGGCATACTTAAAGGAAGTGTGATGCATACATGTGTTGAACAAGATAAAGAAAAGGGTGAGGTGTACATGTGTTGAACATGTGCGTCAAATGTGAGATAGAAGGAGAAGAAGGACAAGAAAGAAAATAGCGAGATAAGTCCAAACAATGTTACTAGTACAAAGAAAACTGTGAGTCTGAGCCAGATGGATGTTGATTCTACTGACCAATAATGAAACTCTCTGATGAAAGTTTGTCCTTCTCCTCCTGATTCAACACTTCAAGAACACACAATACAGCTACATACAGCATATTATATATAGTACCCGACATACCAAATAGCCATATTACAAAGTCCACCCGACAGCCGGCCGACACAAGAAATTAGTACATGAGTGATGCACCGGCCGACACACATTTTTAATACATAAGATATGGTCCAGCCGACACCATCAAATTTGCCTGCACTAGCATATGTTATGGCCCGGCCCACACTTTCTCCAGCAATCGCTCGCTCATCAAATATGGTGTAGCCGACACTGGCTGGACTAGTCGATAGTTCACCAAATATGGCATGGCCGATACTGCCCAGGCCAGCCAATAGAACATAAAATATGGTGCGGCCAACACTGCCTGAGCCGCTCGATAATACATGAAGTATGGTGTGGCTGACATTGGCTGGGCTAGTCAATAGCACATAAAATATGAGATGCCCGACATTATCTGAGCTTGTTCATTGTACATACAATATACTGTGGCCAGTACTGGCTTGGCCAATTCATCATCCATAGAGTGCTATAATGCTCCGGGCCATTCTTTACTTGCAATCAAATGTATGTAGGCTGGGCCGGAATTCTCTCAAATCTTCGGCCGAAGGCTACAGGTCTACAGCTCTCTTAATGCAAGTTGAAGCTTCAACTCTGGGCCGACTTGGGGGCAACTGTGTAGACTCTTACCATATCAGTGATTTGACTTGAGGAATTTTGTCTGGTCAGAGATCGGAATTTAATTCTAGACGTCTGTTGTCCAAGTGCATCAATTTTCTGGTCATTTGGGATGGGCCGGCATTTGAGAGTCTGGGCCGAGTCAGCCAAAACACGGGTCGGCCGAAGAATTTGGTTTCGTGAATTCACATAACAAGTCATTAATTGGGATTTTGGATCGGCCGGTTGAGGGCTTTGGGCCGAGTCGGCCGACAAAGTAATTATGAATTCGCAGATTAAAGCACTTACATATTAGGCAACACCGACTGACATCCCGATGTGTGAACTCAACGCGCTTGGGCGCTTGTTTATGCGTCGGTCATCGTCAAAGTTGTGAGCCCATTCCTGAGCTCATTCTTCGTCCCCTCTTCTCGTGCTTTCAGTATGATAAATGCGAATGTGTGTACTACCTATCCATGTATTTACTTTCCTATAATATACCCTGCATCAATTTCGCATTTTGAGGGTTCCCCCCAGCTGAAATACCAAAAAAGCGGACACAAAGGTCCATGTATTGATTCTATCTACATATAGAATACATTCAGAAGCTTCAATAGGATACTTCAATGGGTGGGTGGGATGGAAGGAGAGTCTGGAAGAGGAGCAGGATGGGTGGCAGGTCTGGGGAGTGGGTGAGCAGCAGGAAGGGGTGGGGGCTGAGAGTGTGAGCTCTGGCTTATGGGAGCAGTCCCCAGGAGATCAAAAGACATATCAGTATGCATAAAAAGAGTTCCAGATGGTTTGTACAGTGTACAGACCCCATGGTTGGGGAGGGTGTATGGCCACTCACCTGAGGGGTCCACATCCATCCATCAAAGTCTCCCCACTTCTCCAAACTTTCACAGGGTCCAAAGAGGACCTATAAAGTATGTTTAAGGGGGTCTTGATCACCCCAGAGGGTTTTGATGAGAGTGAAAGAGAAGGGGGGAAAGGGCCCCAAAAAGCGGTCAGGGAACTCATCTGAGATGATGGAGGGCTCCTAAATGGCCCAAAACAAACACAGCTCACCTCAGGAGCTCGCATAAAAGTCCTATGAGGGAAAGGAATCAATGTAAGGGTGCCAGCAATGCCACAGAGGGGTGTACTCACCTGTCAGACATGACACCTCATCCGCCATCCTCCCTTTTCCACCCATCCTTCCAGTACCTTCCCAAACCTCCTAGACATGTTTTGAAGTATGCTTGAGTCTATTGAATATGTTTATGATGAGCTGGAAGGGTTGTGGAAAGGGGGGAGGGAGGGGGGATCCAGCCGGCCATTTGAAGAGGTGTCTGAGAGCTGGAGAGAGCAGTTGTCGACGGATTGTTATAATAAATTCAAAAATATACATATACGACCGTACCTGAGAGTGCACAAAAGGTTCCAGACGGCCGGGAGGTGAGCGAGGAAGGATGGAGGCAGATGAGTGTCGAAACAAGGTGAAAGAGAAGACGAGCGCCGAAATCAAGAATTGAGCTTCGGTTCAACTGAAGCTCAGACGAGTGCCTACATGCTCTTCCTTCACAACCACAAAAGCTGGGGGGACAAAACTTGGCACACTTTATGTACCATTATTGTAGACTATAATACAGCTTACCACGTATTTTTAGCGTACTTGTATCTCCGGTAATGAGTGATTCTTTGCTGAAAAACGCTTTTTGGGGCATTTTCTGGGGATGTTCGGTGTCTACCTCGACCGCAATGCTTCCAAATCCTTCACAAAAAATCATGCACATGTCCCAGACATACCTCTAAAGATTACAAAAGATGCCGCAGCTATAGACTCTCTGGTTGTCCATAGGAGGGTCAGGAAATGGTCAAAATGACCGCTTTTTTGGTCATTTTTGGGTTTCTTGGGATGTACCTCTATGTGTTCTTGTCCAAATCCTTTCAAAAAAATCATGGACACATCCAACAAACATATAGAACGATTCACCGCTACCGATTTGTATTTTGCCACCTTGTTGATTTTATATTCACCGTGGAATACACAAAATGACCGCTTTTGAGCAAAAATTAGACCTTTCAGTGATTTCCTCTACAGGAGAGAGTCCCCTCATCTCAAACATTCATATATGGGGTATGATATGGTCTCTCTATACAGATCGGACAGGGATCGGGTACCGATCCAACCTCTTCAGCTTCGATGAGGCTGTTTTTGCTTTAAGCAGCCACCTTGATTACCTGATTTGGGTACTGTGCCTGGGCGCTTGTATCAACTCCAGACATTGTTTTGAGCATCTGAAAGTCTCCCTTGCCTGGCAGAAAAATCCCCAGGCCTTGCAATGGTAAGGAATCAGCAATACACATGTTTGATAGCATTTGTGTGAAAAGAGGATACCCCAGGATTTTTCTGTGAGCTAGGGTAGGCAGGTTGGTGCAGTTTCGGCATAATTCTGGGCTTCTTGAAATAACTGGGTGTCACCGGCCGAGAATTTCGGCCGATTCGGCCCACATATATAATCAGAATGCGGTTTCACCATAATTCTGGGTATCACCGGCCAAAATTTTGGGCCAATTTGGCCCACATATATAATGAGGATTAACACAACGTGTGAGAGTCTGATGTGGGCCGAAAGTGTGGGCCGGTTGGCATCTATTTTGTTGCAGCTGCTAAAATTTGTACAATGACTAGTGCACGAGCTAAATGTATTTTTTGTCGGCCGAATGTTGAGCTGGTGGGCCGAAAATCTAAAGTTGAAGGATCGGCCCAATATCTTAACTGGTGAATGTTTAAACCATATACCTCAGTAAAATGACTCACTCATGGTCACTCAGCTCTTGAATTTGGGCTATGCACATATCAGAATACAGTGGGCCGACACACAAAATCTGGAACATGAATATCAAGAAGTTTTGGCTGGCAAGTAAACTATAGACTGTACAAATACTAAGAAGTGTCGGCCGGTACAT